AAACCTGTTTAGATCACTTTTTGGTAAAAATGTGTAATCAAGACACTTTAGAAACTCAGCCAGAGTCATTTTTATTTAAACTTGATATAACGGATCACTATCCCATTGCGTTAAATATTTTAACCAAACAACAGCAGAAAACCTACACAAAACAATTTAAAAAATTTATTAATTACAATCAATTGAAAGGAGACATAGGTAATGAAAACTGGTATTCGGTGTACGCAACAAGTGACACAAACTCAGCAACCGATATTTTCTTAGATAAATTGCTACTATACATAAACAAACATACAAATACAGTACAAACAAGTAATAGAAGAAATGGAAAACAAAAATGGATCACAAAAGCGTTACTTAAAAAAATACAACAAAAACATGACTTATATATACAGCATGTAAATGAACCCCACAATGAGGAACTAAAAACGAGATATCAAAATTGCAATACTGAGGTTAACAAAGAAATAAAAAAATCAAAAAAGAGTTACTTAAAAAGACAAATAAATGCAAATAGAAATGAAAATAAAGCTCTATGGAACTGTGTGAATGATGTATGCAATAGCGGTAAAAAAACTAAAACCAAAAAAATTAAAACAATTAAACTTACTTGCGGAAAAACAATAACAAACGAAAAACAATTAGCAAATCATTTCAACAAGTTTTTTAGCGAAATAGGAAAGAATTTAGCCAATAAAATTACCAACCCTTTAAACATGAATCCAATAAACGAAAACTTCATTGAAAATTCCATGTTCTTACGCGAGACGACACAAAAAGAAGTAATTGACACTATAATGAGCCTAAAAAAAGGTAAATCGCCCGGTATTGACGGAATTAGGAGCGAAACTCTACAGGAGATTAGGAATGAAATAGCAAATCCATTGACATACTTGATTAACCTATGTTTCAAATCTGGAGTATTTCCAGATAAGTTGAAAGTTGGTGCAATTACACCAATACACAAATCTGGATCAGTTGAAGACACAAATAACTACAGACCAATTTCGCTAATCTCTAACATTGCAAAAATCTATGAAAAAATCTTAAAAATACGAATAGTATCATTTCTGAATAGGTTCTCTGTCCTTTCAGATAAGCAATATGGCTTTCGAGAGAAAAAATCAACCGAAGATGCAATAGCGAAATTAACTTCATATTTATATGAGTCCATGGACAAATCACAACCTTCTTTGTGTATCTTTGTTGATCTCTCGAAAGCCTTTGACACGGTAGACCACAGCATTCTTTTAGAGAAACTCAATACTTATGGCTTTAGAGGTATTGTTAATGATCTGCTACAAAGTTATCTTACCAACAGAAGACAACATGTAACAATAAATGGTACTCAAAGCTCATATCAGACAGTCACCTGTGGCGTGCCGCAAGGCACCGTTCTTGGTCCAATAATGTTTATTATTTATGTAAATGCCCTTTTAAAAATGGATATTGCAGGAAAAATTATCAGCTATTGTGATGATACTGCTATATTCTACACCAGCGAGTCATGGACAACACTTAAACAGATTACGGAAAGGGACTTCCTAAATATTTCTAACTGGTTTAAAATTAACAAACTTTCTTTAAACACCACTAAAACTAGATACCTAAATTTCTCGTCATACGCTACCGGCTTGCCAAACATGGGCGTTCTCAATATTGATGACGATACCTCTATTCAGGAAAACGATTCCATAAAATACCTTGGAATAACGTTGGATCAGAATCTAAGATGGAAACTGCATAGCAATCAACTTGCAGGGAAAGTCCGAAACTTAATATCTAAATTCAAACGCCTTAAAGATTTCCTTGATATAAAATCATTGAAAACACTTTACTTTTCGTTGGTTCAATCACAGCTCACATATGGACTTATTGGCTGGGGTGGAGTAAGGGAATGTCATATTAATACAGTAGAAATTATTCAAAAATGGCTTCTTAAAATAATCTATGAAAAACCCAAATTATTTCCCACAGATCAATTATTCAACGAGACCGGAATATTTGACATCCGACAACTTTATGCTCAAAATTTATTGATAAATTTACATAAAAACAAAATTGAACTTGAATATGTACAACATCCTCACGAGACCCGCGCTCAAAATAGAGACGCGGTTCTCCCGCGGAGTCAGAAAGCTGTTGGTCAACAATACTACAAATCTTACGCCCCCAGAATTTATAATCTTCTTCCAGAAAATATAAAACAAAAAATTAACCAAAAAAACTTCAAATCTCATATTAAACCATGGATAAAAATAAATCGCCATACTCTTAGAAATTTTTTCAAAAATCTATAAAAAATAAATTGATCGTAAACCTAAAAAGTGACCATAAAACTCCCTATTTTGACACACCCTCGATTTTGACATGCACACCCGAATAAGACAACTTTACCCGAAATTGACGCACTACCCAATTTAGACAAATAAGAAAAATACCATCACGTACAAGCAATACAGTTGATGCATTGCTTCTGTGATTACTGTTTATTTTACTGTAAGATAAAATTATTATAATATTTAAGCATATGTTTGTACCTATGTATCTTTGGTAAATAAACTTTATTATTATTATTATTATTATTATTTACATTTAATAATAACTTCTATTGTATTATTATTATTATTACCCAGAATTCATTCATCAAAAAAGAATGAATTATCCAAATCTATTGTTTTATGGAATTAATATTGTTATCTATATTGATACATATATAATACTAGCGGCCCGCTCCGGCTTCGCACGGGTATAAAATATATAGCTTATGTCACTCACTGAAAAAATGATTAAAATCGATCCAGTAGTTTTGATTAATTCATTACTGCCCGTGGCCCGCACGCCTTAAATTTGGAGTAAAACAATTCCCCTTTCCCTATACCACGAAGATTTCCTGCTATCTTTGGAATATCTAAATTCATACATGGGTGTCAGGTTGGAGGGGTTTGGAAATTGAATCTACATTAGCAAAAAGCTTAAGGTCATCGGCGTACAATAGACACCGTGAACCTCTGAGACACCCAACGACATCATTAATAAAAAGCAGGAACAAAATTGGGCCGATGTGTGATCCCTGAGGCACACCAGATGGCACTGAAAACTCATGTGAGAGTACACCACACATGTTTACCCGTTGTTGACGCCCAGTTAAGTAGGAGCGTCTTCAGGACAAGTAATGTTCACTAAAACCGATGATAGCTTTCTCAGTAGAATCTTATGACAGACGCTGTGGAAAGCTTTAGATACATCGGTATATATGACGTCAACTTGCTTCCCTGACTCCAAAGCAACTGTTAGGGCTTGTTGATAACAGGCCAAGTTTGTAGCCGTCGATTTGCCTCGGCAGAAACCATGTTGTTCATTAGCGACGTAGGTACATCTTGTAGCAAGAGTAAATTTCATCAGTCAGTATGGATTCCATTATTTTGGGAATATGGGATAAAAGAGATATCCCTCTATAGTTTTTAATGTTGGTATTTACTCCGGATTTATATATAGGGATAAGATTTGATAATTTCCATGTTGTAAGAAAGATTCCTGTATCGAAAGAAAGTTGAAACAGTTGTTTAAGGGGGTTTAGCAAAGATGAGCAGCACTCTTTTAAAAATATAGGTGATAGTCCGTCTGGTCCCGGACTCTTGGAAATGTCCAAATTAAGGATTTTCTACTTAATTTCTCCAGCCGTGAACGCATGATCTGACAAGTGACGGAGTGATTTCCGTTAAGTTGCACATCAGTATGATCAGAAAAACAGCTTTTGAAGTGTTTAGCGAATAGTTAGGCGATTTGTCTCAGATCAGAAGATTTGATACAATCCAGTTGCATCTGGGATGGTAGACCTGCATCCCTTCTAAGTGACTTGATGTAAGTGTAAGACCAGAGATGCATAACGTATGGTATTAAGTGTTGAGTCTTGGTTACATGAAGCATCAGGTAACATATGTCTGTATGATATCTAACTTTGCGTCTTGCGACTGAGTAGGCTCTATAATCTGATCCTGACCGCGACCTCCTATACTTCTTGTACAGTTTATTCTTATGACCGATAAGTTTCCTTAGTTCACAGTTGAACCACTTCGGATACTTATTAGTTTTAATTACCTTCTTGGGTACAAATAAGTCAATGCTCTGGTATATTACTTGAGCGTCGGCAACGTTTAGGTCAGATTGTTGCAACAGATTTTCCCAGTTAATGTTGTTTAAAAACTTGTTGAGTTGGGCGTAGTTTGCTTTCTTGAAAAGATAAACACTGATGGGATTAATATTTTTCATAGTTTTCCGACCCTTATATTTAAACTCAAGTTCTAGTGGTGGGTGGATATCGACCACAGTACAAAGGGGGAAACTACTTTTTCTTATGTCATGGGAATCCAATCCACTGGCAAACATTAAATCCAGACTTCTATTGTTGCCATTTTTAATGCTGTTCAATTGCTCTAGTTCCATAAATAATCGAATCGATGAGTGTTTGCTCGGCCGCAGTGTGTGTGGCTTCGGGAAACAAAGTGTCATCTTCCATGATCCAATTTAAATAGGGAAGGTTGAAGTCTCCAAAGACCAGGAATGTGGCGTTTCTATATCTGTCTTTAAGTGATTCACAAATTTTTACGAATGATTTATAAATTGATGATGAGCTAGGTGGTATATAGACCACCCCAATAACTATCTCATGACCGTTGTAGTTGCTTTGAATCCAGAGTTGTTCAAAGTCGACGAATGAAACAGTATCTATTAAGGAGGATTGATAGTCATTATTCGTGGCAATAAGTAGTCCCCCGCCCTGTTGTAAATTGGTGGCTTCATATTCACGATCCCTCCGGAAGACTGCATATTGCAATGGAAATAGTTCAGCATCAGCAAAGGAATTGTTTAACCAAGTCTCAGTCAATATGATAAAATCGTAATTGGAAGTTATTGTATTTTTGAAAAGTTCTTGAGTCTTTGTCCTAAGGCCGCCTACATTGTGATAATAGAGGCTTACAGACGACTCCAGATCCTTATTAGTAGTTTCGTTGGTTAAGTCGACCTTTATGTCTAAAGATTCTCGGACCAAGAATTGCAGAGTGGTTACTTCTGTTGTGACGAAAGAACTGAAACTTTTTGATTTCGACATCGATAGGCCAATTTTTTGGGTCTAATATGGACGTTTCTAAATCGTTGTTGGCCACAATTTTGAAACATTTGTAATCTTCAGATTTTGAATTAAGTTCTCCAAGTGTGAACTCTTCCTCATTATCAAATACATCATGTAAGTACCTTAAGTTATCCTTGGAAACGTCATTGGATAATTTACGAACAAAAATGGCTGTTTTGGGCAGGATGGCAGCCGCAGAAATTCCAGCACTGTTTGTTGCTTTTGTGCTAGTGATTGCCGAGAATTTACGACTGTTCCGCCTGTTAGTTGGAAGCATTTCGGCATTTGATTGATGCATTGCGGTGCTCGTTGGTGCGTTGAACTTTTTGTTGTTGGTTATATTGTTGTTATTGGCGCTTGTCGCGCATTTTGTCACAGTATTATTATTAGTGCTGTTACTGGAACACGAGCGCTTAACCAGAGCTTCAAGGGCCGAAAACTTAGCATTAAAAACACCCGAAAGGTCGTTGTACAATTTTGTATAGAGCGCATCTCTGTTATCTTGAAAAACTGCAGTCGGAGCCTGACTCAGCTTGAAATTTTCATTTTTGAGATCTTTTATTTCCAAAATGTGCTGCTCATTTTCCACAGTAAGAGTTTCGATGGAAGTTTTCATTTCTTGTATAGTTGCGAAATAGTCATCAGTTTGCGTATTAAGCTCACCAATTTCAGCCTCTTTCGCCCTGATGTCAGCTTCAAGTTCGGAACACTTTTTATTATGCTCCTTTGCTTCGGCCTTCTGCTTTGACAAATTTTTGATTTGGTCCTCTTTATCGCTTGGGTCAATCCTTTTACACTCTTCACTGCAGCAAAAAATTAATTTTCGCTGTGTGAGGGTTAGACAGTCCATTTCGGTTGTTGACAGGCGAGCACACTTCTTACAATAAACCTTATTACAGAAGTCGCATCTGCAACCAAAGACCTCGCTCTCCCTCCTACGCTTATTTACGCACTGAACATCGCACGTTGAACATTGCATATTGGGGATAGAACTGATAGAAGTGTCTTTTCAAAAAAAAAAGTCAAATTTCGCTCGTTATTCCACAACAATTTTAAAAGGAAAGGGGGGTCAAATGATACATCATTTTGGAGGGTTTTTAATTCCATACATTTTAGTACAAAATTTTAATCCCTAACAGTTGTACAACTGTTTTAGAAATATTGACAGTTGATAATTGACTTTTCTGCAACTTTGACAGGCTGTAAAACCTAAACGGTTAATTTTAGAGGAAAAACGATCTTACATTCTTAGATTTTTATAAACTATCATTTATCAGCAACTTCGAATTTAATCCATGATCAAAAATTCCGGTTGAAAATTTAATCTCCGATTAAATTCAAAAATGGTGTTAAATGATGAAAATCTAAGATAAGAATGTAAGATCGGTTTTCCTCTAAGATTAACCGTTTAGGTTTTACAGCCTGTCAAAGTAGTAAAACAGACAATTTTCAACTGTCAATATTTTCAAAACATTTGAACTTAGGGACTAAAATTTAGTACCAAAATGTATGGAATTGAAAACACTGCAAAATGATGTATCACTTGACCCCCCTTCCCATTTAAATTTTTCTAGAAGGTGAATTTTGCATAAAAACTCATCCCCCTTGACGGGTTTCAGGGATTTTTTCGAAAATTTTTCTACTCCGAGATAATAGGGGTGGGAAGTTTTCAAATTCACACCCTGTATACATTCATCGATGAAAAGGTTCCATTTATAGTGGAAACAGATGCTTCTGATGAGATTTTGCTATTGATGCTCAACTGACACAAAATGGTGAACCAATCTCATTTTTCTCAAGAACCTCAACAAAAATAGGACAAAATTATTTCAGTATAGAAAAAGAAGCATGCCTACGCAATAATAGAAGCTATAAGAAAATGGAGGCATTATTTAATGGGATATTTCAGTATAATCACTGATCAAAGATCCGTTGCATTTATGTTTGACCGTAAAAGTTGATGCTGCGTTGGAAAATACTATAAGAAATCATCATAAGCTACAAAGTACAAATTAATTTAATATAGGTACAGGCCTTGAAATCAATACATTGTAGCTAACACACTTACCAGGATATCAGCTGCTATTCAACTATCAACATCATACAAAAATTTGTATAAACTATACAACGCAATATGTCATCTTGGCGTCACAAGATTCTATCATTTGGAATTGATGCAAAAATTTACCCTATTTACTAGAAGACATCAAAATCCCCATGTCTGGTTTGTGCAGAGATAAAGCCAATAATCTATAAAATCAAAGGAACTCTCATCAAAGCCATAGTACCATTTGAAATATTAAATATTGACTTTAAAGGTCCATTTGCCTTCAAACAATCAAAATAATTACCTCGGCGTGAAATAATTCTTTACATTTAATAAGATCCCTTTTGTGTACTGCAACTAATGAATGCATATTCAACCATCCTAGAAAATCGACTAATGATACCTCAATGCCTACATGGTTGAGTACCCCAGGATCAGTTTTTCTCAAGAAACATGTCAGGCATAGCAAATATGACTCATTAGTAGAAAAAGTAGATCTTCTGGAAGCAAAATCAGATTATGCTCATGTACGCCTATCAAATGAAAGAGAAATTACTATATCAACTCTTCATTGTGATGTGAGCTCTGCCAGAACAGGATCAAAATGTCATAACACTACCAGAACAAGATTATGAGTTAACTATTCCTAAAGAAAACCTTACATCAGTTAGTTCAGAACGTTTATCTTATTCGTTCTCTATAAATGATTCTAATCGTTCCCTTTCTTAAAATTCTGAACAATCTCACAATAAAAATCCTGCAACTGTATCTACAGTGAAACCTACTATTGAAACCGGTCTGTATCTACTGAATTTTAGTTTATTAAAGCCTTAATTCTGAAGGTCTTTTAGTACAAAGGTATTTTAAATGCTATCTGTTATCCAAATCTATAAATTCTCAATTAAGTCCTCAACAATAGAAGTTAACATTATATTTAGCCTGACTTAATTAATCAAGCAACAAGGGTAATATTTATTAAAAACGAGTTGCTACCTGGAATATTTAAGAACAATTTGTTCATTTGGCAAATCATGCCAATTTCTTATCATAATGTATTTTTATATCAGTTTATTACCTACTTTATCGGTTTATTATTTGTTCAAATTTAACATAAACTTTTTAAGTACCTGATCAATTAGCTCATCCGTGAAAAAATGAATTATTATTATAATTATTAGGTACTTTTCGTTGCAATTATCTTAGCTATAGAATCATGGTTAATAATATATAAACTCACCGCGGAATGATTGATGTATTTATTATAATTCTTAAAAAATTTAATAGATAATGAGTGTGCAAAAAAACTCATGGTCAATTGGATAATAAATTAACCATTGAAATGGAACTCAAATAAATCAATTTGCGCAACAACAAATTGTTTAGTAATTAGTGAGATCAAATCAACTGAGAACTCAATGGTGTTAATAATATGGCTATGCAAATTTTCTGAAATTTTTCCAGTAAAGATTATCACGTAGTACCTATAGTAGAATAGAAAATCATAAATTTGAAATATGTAGGTAACTATTTAATTTCCTTTTCTTAAAAATAGCTTTGGACTTTGACTCAGGGCCAGTTTTTTTGATACCTTTACTTTGTTTTAATCTCTGGTCTAACTTGATATTTTAAATGTCTGTCTATGTGATATAAATATGGAAACTATAAATAGGTACATTACCCCCTGATGAGGTATATATGTACCTACCTATTATCACTAAATTTGTATCAAAGTACTTTCTTTAATATTTACTATAGGAAAGTAATTTTTGATATCACAATCAATTTATTTTATTTGAAAAATGTTTTCTAGGAAATTCAATCCATTTATTGTTGTGTTTAAAAATGTCCATATTACCTTCACCTTCATTTCATAATTATTAATCGATAAAATAATTGTTTCAGGCTGAAAATAATAAAAACCAGGACACTATTGGACAAATAATGGATACCAACGCAATTTATAAAGAAGTTGTTGTTATCGGTAAGTTTTTGTTGCCTTATCGATCGCGGTTAATTATATAGGTAATTGTTGTAATAAAATTTGTCCTTGTGTATAAATGTTTTAATTTTTAAGCAATTTAAACTTGAACGATCCTATGATCTATGATATGAATAAAACATCCCTCAGCTTTTGTAGTTAAGTATTGGATAGTAGAGCTCTTTTCTCCTTCCTCTGATTCTCAAAAATCCGGCTTTTCTTCATTCTCCAACTGACCTTTTTCATAGGTAGGTACCGAGGGGCAAGCCACCCATAAAATTTTGTACACTGAAATTCCTCTAAATGGAAATTCCTTGAAATTTCGTGCAATTCCTTATAATTCCACACAATTCGCGATAAATTCCACACAATTCCCGGTAAATTCCACACAATTCCTTGCAATTCCTTACAATTCCTTGCAATTCCTCGCAATTTCCTCCAATTACTTCCAATTCCTCGCAATTCTTGGACAAATAATTTTATGTTTGAATAACCTTTTTGCAATTAAATATAGGTTAATATGTTTAAATTATCTAATTATTGTAATTCTGTTGAAAACTACAATGTATGTCAGGTCGATTATCAATTATTGGGTACTCACATTAAAACAAAATAAATTTTAAACTATAACATCCGATTTTGTAAGCAAATGTTGATCCTTCGACTTCTGTCCAATAAGAATATTCATGTGGTTAACTGTTGCTTCAAACTTGCCCATGGGTAGCTTCATTCTGGATTTAATTTTGTTTTTATATCTGTATAGTGTTGATAGGGATGGTAGAATATTGTTCATGTTATTGTGTAAGGTTTCATAAAATAGTTTGCCGCCTGAGTAAAACAAATACAAAGCAAATTTTTTGAAATTATCGTCATATACAGGGTGTCCACTTAATGCGATATCGGACGATATCTCCTTAGAGGGTGATGCAAAAAAAAAAAATTAAATTACAAAGTTGTTTGATACTCTAATAGGCATTAGTTAAAAATATTTTTGAATACAGGTGAGTTAGTGAGCGCGCGGTGGTCCATATCTCCTATACTAACGGAGATCGAAGAAAAAACTAAATACAAAACTTGTAGATAAATATGAGTACTACATTCCTAAATTATTTGCCAGTATACAGCGTGGCCCAATAAGTAGTGGTTACACAAAGCTATGTTTTTTTAAATGACTCCCCCTGTATACTATGACATTTCTGGATTTTGTGGAAAATTCCAGACATATTTCATGTACAATGCCATATACCTATCTTCAACTGTTTCGGAAATATTGACAATTGAAAATTGACTATTTTGCATCTTTGACAGACTGTAAAACCTGAACGGTTAATTTTACAGCAAAACCGATCATACATTCTTGTATGATAGCTTATGAAAATCTAAGACAAGAATGTATGATCGGTTTTGCTGTAAAATTAACCGTTCAGGTTTTACAGTCTGTCAAAGATGCAAAATAGTCAATTTTCAATTGTCAATATTTCCGAAACAGTTGAAGATAGGTATATGGCATTGTACATGAAATATGTCTGGAATTTTCCACAAAATCCAGAAATGTCATAGTATACAGGGGGAGTCATTTAAAAAAACATAACTTTGTATCACCACTTCTTGTTGGGCCACCCTGTATACTGGGAAATAATTTAGGAATATAGTAGGTACTCATGTTTATCTACAAGTTTTGTATTTAGTTTTTTCTCCGATCTCCGTTAGTATAGGAGATATGGACCACCGCGCGTTCACTAACTTACCCTGTATACAGGGTGCACTGTTTATGGGTTATGCAACAGAATTTTGTTATTTTAAATGGAACACCCTGTATTTGATTGCATATTTGGATTCTACGTGAAATTCTGAGCAGATTTCATGTAATATAATATCCTTTTACCTAAGTTCAACTGTTTTGGAAATATTGACATTTGAAAATTGACTTTTTGCAATTTTGACAGACTGTAAAACCTAAACGGTTTAGGTTTTACAGCCTGTCAAAGTTGCAAAAAGTCAATATTTCCAAAACAGTTGAACTTAGGTATAGGGTATATTACATGAAATCAGCTCAAAATTTTACGTATAATCCAAATATGCAATGACATACAGGGTGTCTCACGGTGGATGGCGTATTAGACGTTAATGGAAAACTAAAAAGCGGATCATTTTGAAAATTTGGCAACCAGGATAAATGACCATAATCTACACTTTAAAAATATTTTTGTTTATGCGGTGTTGCCTCTTCTACTCTAAACTAGTGGCACCATCGCCATTTTAATTGGAAAACCCTGTATGTGATTGCATATTTGGATTCTACGTAAAATTCTAAGCAGATTTTATGTAATATACCCTATACTTAAGTTCAACTGTTTTGGAAATATTGACAGCTGAAAATTGACTTTTTGCAACTTTGACAGGCTGTAAAACCTGAACGGTTAATTTTAGAGGAAACCCGATTTAACATTCCTGTCTTAGATTTTTATAAACTATCATTTGGCACCAACTTGGAATTTAATCCATGATTAAAAATTCCAATTAAATTTAATCTCCGGTTAAATTCAAAGTTGGTATTAAATGATAGTTTATGAAAATCTAACATGTAAGAATGTTAGATCGGTTTTCCTCTAAAATTAACCGTTCAGGTTTTACAGCCTGTCAAAGTTGCAAAAAGTCAATTTTCAACTGTCAATATTTCCAAAACAGTTGAACTTAGGTATAGGGTACATCACATAAAATCTGCTCAGAATTTTACGTAGAATCCAAATATGCAATCACATACAGGGTGTTCTATTTAAAATAGCGATATTGCCACTGGTTTAGAGTAAAAGCGGCAACACCGCATAAACAAAAATATTTTTAAAGTGTATATTATGGTCGTTTATTCCGGTTACCAAATTTTCAAAATGATCCCATTTTTAGTTTATCATAAACGTCTAATACGCCATCCACCGTGGGACACCCAAAACAACAAAGTTTTGTGGCATATCCCCATAAACGGAGCACCCTATATATTCAAATATATTTTTAACTAATGCATATTAGAGTATCAAAGAACTTTGTAATTTTTTTTTTTTTTGCATTACTCTGTAAGAAGATATCGTCCGATATCGCACTAAGTAAAAACCCTGTATATTCTGTTTATTTTCACTTTTTTTGGTTGCAACATCTATGAGAGTTTCTAGGAATGCTTTTCTTGTCATAGTCAAACTCTCGGTTGAACTTGACACGTTAGTAAAATGTACATTTTTGACAGTGTGGTTAAGTTTTTGTGTACAACAATTTTTGATGATACCTCAAATGACAAATTCCTTAAATAAGCTGCCCTTCAACGTAAAAGCAGGTCTGGTCTGGTTTTGAGGTTAGAATTCATGAAAAATGACTAGCGATGCAACGTTGCCAGACTTGGGCCAACTAAGAGGGCAAGGGAACGGGGTTTAAGCACTTTGAGATGAATGTATACCTATGAAAGTATATCCGAGAGTGTATGTAAGAACGGACAGCTTGTTACCCGCAAAACGCGATTGAAAGGTAAATAATAAAATTTGAGGAAGTGAGACAGTGAATGGGTAACTAAAACAAAAAAATAAAAAGAGAGGGTTGGTCGGTGGCTGAAATCTAGAAACGGGACTTCGTGTGAAGGGTTGCCGACTAGCTTCCAATGCGGAGAGGGATGTGGATTAATTGAATAATTAAATATAGAGCGCCACTTGTTTTTCCCTGCAGTACACGTAATCAACTGATATAACGAAAGCAGGAAACCCACTCCGAACCTGCTTTAAAGTCAAACCTGTTCTGGTTCTAATTAAAAAATCCGTACCTGATTGTAGCAAAGCGTTTCACTTCTGCCCTTCCTTCTTGTTTACTTTTATATTTCAGGTTGTGTTGCTATAGGTTTGTAGCATTCTGCTTTCGTTATATCACAGGGAAAAGCAGGTGGCGCTCTATATTTATTTATTTAATTAATCCACATCCCTCTCCGCATTGGAAGCTAGTCGGCAACCCTTCACACGAAGTCCCGTTTCTAGATTTCAGCCACCGACCAACCCTCTCTTTTCATTTTTTTGTTTTAGTTACCCATTCACTGTCTCACTTCCTCGAATTTTATTATTTACTTTTCAATCGCGTTTTGCAGGTTGGCAAATTGGCGCCCAACGTGGGGCCACAGCTATTGGAAAGAAAACAGTGGCTTGACGAAGGAATGATGCGAATACGCTTATTTCCTTTTATTTTGGCCCAAAAAAAATCAGCCCGTAACAAGCTTCACGAATTTCTTATAGTTCTTCATACTTTTTTCAGATTCCTACTTACAAACTTTACCAGATTTTCACAATACTTTCCCGGATTTCCAGAAACTTTTCTAAAACCTACCTTTGAATTTTCTTTGTAAAAAGTGAAAATATTAAGTCCCTGGAAAAATCGCCTATCGAATTTTGCATAGAAAGTTCTTCTTCGAAAATCCTCACTAATTTTTCATTCTTCTTTTGATTTCTGAAAACTTTCCCGGTGGAGTTTGAAGTGGGTTTCATCGCCTCCCGAATTTTGTATAGAAAGCTCTTAGTTCTTCCTCGAATATCTGGGCATGGACAATTGCTTGTATATTTGATTTGAATTATGCATAGCTCATACCAGGGGCGGATGGGCTCAGGCGGGACACCGGGACGATTCCCGGTGGGCCGGAGAGCCAAGTGGGCCGGTTAAGGAAAAAAAAATACGATAACAAACAATACGCCGCAACCTTATAGAAAAAACTAATCACTTAAGGCGTAATGCGACAACACTCTGCCAATTCAACAGAAAGCAGTCAACGTTTTTTGTCGTTTTCACAAGGCGTTGAGCTGCCATCTAATATTGGAAAATATTTTCATTAAAATTTAGACTTTTTCTGTAAATTTACCCTTTTTCTGTAAATTTATACTTTCTCTGTAAACTTACACTATTTCTGTTCAATCAGACATTACCGAGGACACTACCAAACTTACCTATAATAACCCGCTAAGTTCGAAATTTTTGTCAGACATAATCAAAGTTACCAATAATAACCAGGTTAGTTTTAGTTAGTTTGCAATTGTAATCAGACATTACCGATAATAGGGGAGAGTCGGTGAATTGTGCGCACCTAAGGAAAAAGAAAGATATTTTCTAAAATATGGCTCATGGAGCTCTGAAATTTGGCATAGATATTCTTCTGTGTTATAGCTGACAGCCCAAATCAACCAAAGATCACAAAGAAAATATTCTGAGCCTAGGGACAAAATTAGATAAAAACTGACACTGCGCACGATTATCCACCCTATGCGGTTAATGGTGCGCACTAGTCAGGGCAATTGTGCGCAACAGAAAACTATTGAAAACTATCGGATATAAAGGGTGGATTAAAAACAAGTGAAACAAAGTACATAATACGTTTATTGCAAACATAATATTAAACTAAATTATTGCATAAAAACCATAACTAGTGGTCGCAAAAGTCGCAGATGTAACATATGGGGGAGTCTACCCCAATGCAAAGCTCATGGGCCCATTTGCCGCAGATCGCACACTGAAACCAGTATTCGTCTTTCTTGCTCCAGTCGTCGCAAACCAAACATCTGTCTCCGAGATTGACCTCCGTGTCATCAAGTTCATCATCATCACATAACTGGCTGTCTGAGACTTCTTCTTCAGATTCACTTTCCTCAAAAACCTTCCTTTTAACGGTCTTATTATTTTTCTTTCTTTTGCGAATTGTGAATTCAGGTATTCCAAACCTTCGCCCAGCATCTCTAATTGCCCCACCATTCGCAACAAATAATATAGCTTTTTCCATTGTATCTACGTCCCAGGTTGCTTTATTTGTTTTTCGGGCATATTTTGGCATCTGAAACAATGAAAATATGTATTCATAATAAATAGTTTGAAAATGTAGTTACTTTCAAAGACAACAAGCGTCTGCGGATCACACGGGGGCAACGCCACGAATACAGCGCCCATAACGCTTCTTGTTTATTGACGCTTCCACCTCCTTGTCCTGAATCCTGATGAATATTTATTGTTATATTCTAGGATTATTTTGCAATTTCCATTGCGTAAAATATCGATTATTATCGATAATATTTAACTAAAAATTTTAGAAAGACTGATGAGAATTAATTTTTTTGGGATGGGGTATCTAGTCCAAGCCAGAACCCGGGTACAAAAAAATAATTGATAAGTCAGGTGGAACAATCCAATGATACATGGCCCTTCGCCCTCCACAGTTGATTTGTAGGCTGTATCACAACCAAGCTGTTTTTGTAAGATTTTGAAAGACACAGTGTTTAATCTAGATTAAATAACAAGTACAATAAAGAAAGGCTTTATTGTACGAATAATTTTATGACCGAGCGAGCTTGCGAGCGAGGCTATTAAATAATAAGTCAATATTCAATGCCTGTTTATGTAAGCGTAATACCTACATAATGTAAATTTAATGCGTTTATGTAAATTTCCCTCTTGGTGATAAATAAAATAAATAATTATTGTACCATTTTTCCTTTCAACAGTTTAAACAGTTCCATATTTTATAAACTGTGCTCTGATGGTATCTTTTGCTCTAATTTTCTTTTCCACTCAAAAAAGTCTTCCTTAATTATTATTAAATGTTAAATTCTTGGGGTCTAAGTTGTTTCCGTGAAAAATTTTGTAATATGTAAAACAATAATGTCTTTGCTGTCGGTAATAAAATCACAGTTTAATGGGCATCTTATGGACTTCATTATTTTTGTAGATGTATTTTTGTTGTGAATTGTGCTCTCCATGTATTTTTTTAGGTGATAATTGCTCGAAAACTCCCTCTCATGTCATTGATAATAAGACAAACTATCGAATTATAATTAATAATTTTGTGTCAAATAAATAAAGAGGCGGTAAACAAAAATGCTAGTGAACCTCCGTTTGTCGCGTCGCGCCAAATTTTATAAGTTTCGTTCCTACACTTTCGATCATATTCGTGGCGTTGCCTCCGTGTGATCCGCAGACGCTTGTTCAAAGACATCTATGAGACGGCGCCACGTGTACGAATTTGATCAAATAATCGGCGTTTTCGTATGGTATTATGGTGCGCACCATTAGCCGCTGCGCACGTTTAACCGACTTCCCCCTAACCCGGTTAGTTTGCAATTTCAATAAGATATTTTCAAACTTACTAATACTAACCCGGTTAGTTTGCAATTGTAATCAAACATTAAAACTTACTGATAATAATCCGGGTTAGTTTGCACTTTCAATCAGAAATTATCAAACTTACCGATAATAACCCGGTTAGTTTGGGTTAGTTTTCAATTTTAATCAGACATTTTTAAACTTACCGATGTTCCTGGTTAGTTTGGGGTTTAGTTTGCTATTTCAATCAGACATTACCAATAATAACCCGGTTAGTTTGCACATGCTTCAAAATTATTAATTTTCGAAAGAAGTTATTCAAAGTCAATATGTTCCAAATGGTTGATTTTTGAAATGAAAGCATTCGGAAAAAAAATAGCAATTTTTGTTTTCGAAAAATAAACATAGACCTGTAATGTCTGAATAAAATTGCGAACTAACCCAAATTGCGGTACTTAAATTTGGTAATGTCTGATTAAACAGAAAAAGTGTAAACTAGAACATGAGAATATTCTACAATACCTATCAGCATGTCTCTACGCTTTCATATTTTTGAGTCATATAAGGAGTTTTTTTTTTTCTAATAAAGGAGACTATTTAATACCCTATCCAGTGTTATTCACCTCCTGTGAGCGCGCGGGGCCGCTTGAGCAAAAACCGTCCCGGGCCGATTCAAAGTTGCCCATCCGCCCCTGGCTCATACACTTATTGAGTTATTAAGTTTCAAAGTTGAAGTTAAGTCAAAATACCATACAAAACTTTAAAATCACTTTTCTTTAAAACTATAAGCCTAAAGTTGTTAAATATTATAATTTATGAAGCAATTATTGAGAGCTATAATCCCTGAAAATTTCATCCTAGTATCTCATTTGGGACCTGAGATATTAAGGTTCCAAAATGTTGAAATGAAAATCCAAATATAAAATTGCAAATAACCTAACTGTGGGCTAATTTTAGCGTACAAGGTTCTCCCAGATATTCACACAGATTACTTTGAAGCTTCTGCTTGGTGATAGTGTTATTCTCTCATTTCTGAAGCCTCTGGCATAAAATCTTGAATCTTCTCTTCTATAAATTTGTTACAAAACTAAGATTCTATTATTTATAGGCAATGGTCCAAGCGGTATAATCGTATCACTGATGCTGAGCGGTAAATTGCCATACTTCATCACCAGCGAACATCCGGACGAAATGCTTAATGCCCGTTTGAAAAGTCTCACATCGCCCTGTCTCATTTCGCAAAACTTGGAATTTTTGGCTCAAGGATTGGAGGGAAGGTGCAACAATCCCATATCTTTACTTATGGACGCTCTTTTACATCCCTATGCCGATCTCGGAATCGATCTGGAACCTTTGATCGAGTTTAGACAAACAGGAAAAGAGGTAAATTTTTTATTAAAATTTGAAAAAAATGACACACGAAGTCTCAAGTCTAAATGATGCCTTGATGATTTTGTTTGTCGTTTTTTTGAAATTCAAGTTCCTTAGAGAGTATTGAAGAAATTTATATATTATTATTTTTTTCTAGTTTGTAGATGTTAGGACTGGGTTTACCATAGAGAACCTTAAATTCAATAAAAAACTAGAAGTTTTTTTAACAGAAATTAACTTAGTGACAGTCTAGGATAGAAAAACTACCCTGATTATGACAGAACCATTAAAAATTATGTTTTTTTTTATGTTGAAATGTAACTTAACTAACATCCAATCAATTTCCAGATTGATCATGTGGTTCTTGGCCGAGGTCCTCCCGGTGGTTCCTGGCACCGAATCGATCCAGACGTTCTCACTTTATCCCTAGGCAGCTGGATGGCGTTGCCAGGCTTACCATTTCCATCGTGCACCACCAACGAAAAACGGGCATATTCACGTGACGTAGCCACCTACTATGAAAACTACGTAAGGCACATGGGACTGGACAAATACTTTATAAACGATACTCTTGCCACATCTGTGATAAGTTGCTCAGATAGGACAGTTTCTGAGGAATTGTTGTTGAAGAAAAAGAATTGGATTAAAAGGTTTGATAGGAACGTGGTGGACAGAGTAAAAGACTATTTCGAACCAGTAAACGAGGATGGAAATAATAACTGTTTTATAAGTAACGCTCTGAATTGTTTGCTTTCGAGCAGTTCAAAACGAACAAGGCTTAGTAAAAGGCCAAAAACTGCCCACGACAACATAGCGAAAAAGCTAAATCAGAACAAATCCGAACCAATCTTCGTACCCAAACACGAACGAAAGAGATCAATTTCTTGTTGTTGCTGTTGTGGTGACACGGAAAACTACAAAAACCCAAAAACCTTTCCCCATTCTCAAAGTCTCGACGCTTCTTCCACTAAACCTGTGCCTTTCTACAATAAAATTAACTGTGATTCTAACGACAAAACTCCTAACTGGATAATACAAACCACCAACGCTGAGTCTGGCGAAACAACAAAATACAGTTGCAAATATTTAGTTTTAGCTTGTGGCACCTACGATTCACCTAATCGGTTGGAGATTTTCAAATCCGGCCCAGATCCGGACTGGTTGGTGCACGATTTGAGGAGCCTAGAGTCAAAGTTGGACAACAAGGCGATTGAAGACGGTTCGATAATTGATCCAGTATTGATTGTAGGAGCAGGACTTAGCGCTGCCGATGCTATAATGGCTGTTAGGTCTAGGAATGTGCCTGTGATTCATGTGTTTAGGAGGAAGTCGGCTGAATTTACTAGGCAGTTGCCTGAGAATATGTATCCAGAATATCATAAGGTAAGATGTAATTTGGCTTGAGGAGTCTTATCAATACTTACTTAGGTGTTACTATGTATAATAGAGAACTTTCTTAAAGAGGAGATTTTTCAGGATTCTGTTTCCTTCTTTCTTTGAGACTTTTTCTTAGCAATGTTAGTAATGCCTCTCTTTCGACTTCCAATATCTTTAGTTGTTTCAAAGATTTACGTGAATAATTCATCTTGCAGCTTTGTTCTGCAAGAGAGGGGTGGCTTGAATTACAAGGGGAGCTAGGTGAAGCTGGCTCTACCTGTGGTTGAGGTACGTATCTCACTATTTGCTGAGAATCTAAAGAAGAATTATTAGTTACTATGTTTTTATCAATTTCAAAGTTATCATTATCATAATCATGAAATATGGTTAAGTTTGGGTTAAAATGAACATTTTTCGATTCTGCTTCCCACTGGCATATTTTGATTTGGTTCTTATGGCGTGTCCAAATGTTTCCTTCTTCCAGTTCACACAAGAACGTTGCTTTTCCAGTCTTCTTTATTAGTTTGGCCTTGGTCCAGGCAATCTTGTTTGCATTTCTATAATCTTTCACTAATACCATGTCTCCTACTTTTAATCCTCTTTCCTTCCCTCCGTAGTTTTTCTTTTGACGTTCCTGAGCCTTTCTTAAGTTTTCTATTGCACTTTTATCTGCTGTATCCAAGATGTTGTCACTTTTTCGCATACTAGAAAGTCTCGTTCTCAATTCTCTTTTGTACATCAAACTAGCTGATGATGCTTTTGTTGAGCAATGCTCCGTCTTTCGATAAGTGAACAATATTCTTGATATTAGAGTTGATAATGATTGATTTTTGCTTCCTGGATCTTTAAGGGCTGCGTTGAGTTTAGTTTTAAAATTTTTAACTGCATTTTCAGCGGCTCCATTACTGATGATCAGGAGGTGATTTCAAGTGCTTGATGCCATTCAGTCTACAAAATTATTGCATCTTTGCTGACACCAAATTAGGTCCATTGTCGCTCACCATGGTACTTGGTATGCCAAATCTGGAAAATGTCTCTCTCAATTTTTCAATGATGTCATCGGTGGTGACTTTAGTCATCGGATACACTTCCAACCATTTCGTGTAAGCATCTACAATTATTAAAAAATTATGCTTTACCATTGGACCACAAAGATCTATGTGGATTCTATTAAATGGTCGATTTTCTACAGGCCATGGTGTCAAAGGGCTTTTTGGTGGTGCCTGTATGGTTACTCTGCATGGCACACATTTCCAGAACTTTTCTACGTAGCTTGCTTGAAATCACTATTTTCAGGCCCCACATTAGAATGTCATCTATATATATAAAAATCAAAGTTCACGGGGTATCCGGATATGCGCTCCAAAACCACTTATCCGATTACGATGAAACTCTGGTAGGTTGTTATGGCCATCCCAAGGAAGGTTTCTGGACAGGTTACGCATCTCGGAAAAAGAAATTCATTTTGAATTAATTAATAATTTAATTGAAAACAAACTCATTCATATTACATAATAACATAACCCAACTTTTTTTGACAGCATGAAACAACGTTGCCATATTTCATTTATTTAGGCTTGCATTCAACCGACGTAACTTTATTATTTTTTGAATTCGAGAACGGCTGGACCGATCTTGAATTAATACCACGTATCTCTGTATAAGCTGAATTCGATTGACCCAGATTAGATCGATTTGGGTTCAATTTAAGTGAACTTCTTCTGATCTAGATCATTTTTTTGTTGATGAGGGTGCACTGATCCAGCTTCAATCGAACACAGTGTGGTTCACCTAAATTGAACCAGATCGATCTAATCCGGTCAATCGAATCGTCTATAGAGGAGAGTGATATAGGCTATTTTTTATCCCGAAAAAAAAAGTTCGGTTGCGCAAAACTCTGATACACTGGAATGCCTATAAACAGCCCGGGGCGCTCTAGAGCAACTCTGGAGTGCTTAAAATGCGTCACTGAACTCACTGGCAAGCGACTCTGATATCGGATTAAAAAAAAAAAAATTAAATAGAAAATCAACAACAAAATTTGAAAAGAAGTGTACCTATTATTTCAAAATGTATTTATTTGTCACTCATTTGTAAAACGTCATTTATCAAGTCAAAACATAAACAACGAAAATTGATTTTTACCAGTTACTGGCTCTACTGACTTGTAAAATTGACAGCTAAACTGTAAAAACTTTTTACAAGTCAATAGGGTCAGAGAATTATTTATTAAAATTGTATTACCTATATGTATTAATTTTTTATTTATTGTTTAAGATTGTTTACAAATGAGTAACAAATAAATTATTGTACATCATACGCCAGGTATCAGTTTTTACTGGCTCTTGAAGGTGACAAGCTCGCCTGACGGCTCGCTAGTCATTTCGTTCAATCACCAGTAAAAACAGTTTTACCTGGCTAATAATGTAAAATACTATTACACGCTGGCAACGCAGCGGGTCATTAGCTAGTTTTCTATAAATAATTCATTACGTCTATGATAATATGCCTTCAACTCGTCATTAATTTGTTTTGGCCATTTTTCAGCTCTAACACATTTAATGATGTCTTGCAATTGACTATCTTGTTTCGTATTTATCATAATTTCATGATTATTTAAAGGCCAATTATCGATTTTATTCGTAAAATTCAAATAACTTACATTTTCCTCTATAGCTACTTCTGTTTTGCTTGGTTTTCGGGAGAAATAGTCTGCAATGGTATTTTCCTTACCCTTTATGTGCTCTATTTTATAGTTGAAACCAGCCAGAAATGCTGCCCATCTTTGTAGTCGATTTTCGTACATTTTTGGTATGCCTTTATGTTCACCCATCAATGTTATTAGTGGTTTATGATCTGTGCGGATCGTGAATAATCTTCCTGCCAGATACTGGTAGAATTTTTTTAAACCTAGGTAAATCGCACTGCTTTCTTTGTGTAGTGTGCTGTATGATACTTCAGCTTTTGTCAGAGTCCTAGAAACAAAATTAATTGGTCTTTCCACTCTATTGGGCATAACATGGGATAAGACAGCAGCAATACCGTAATCGGAACTGTCAGTTGTCAAATAAATGGGTAATTTTGGGTTAAAATGCGTTAGTACTAAATCAGACATGAGAATTTCTTTTATTTCCATAAAAGCTAATTGACATTCTTTACTCCAATAATACTCAGTTTCCTTTTTGACCAAATTATATATGGGTCTTAAAATTGAGGATAAATTTGGGATGAACTTTGAATAATAAGTTACCATGCCTAATAAACTACGAACTTCAGTTACATTATGGGGCGGCTCTGCTTCACATATAGCCTTAATTTTGTCTTCAGCCTTGTGAAGACCATGCTTACTTATTTTATGTCCTAGATAATGAATTTCTTCTTTGAAAAACTGACACTTCTCTCGGCGTAGCGTCAATCCGGCATCGCTGAGTTTCTGCAAAACTTTACATAAGATTTTTAAATGACTTTGTTTATCAGGACCTGTTATTAATAAATCATCTTGGTAGACTGAAACATACTCCATACCTTGGAATTTTTGACATTTACTGCTGCCAGGAGTAATGCCAAAGGGCATTCGATTTATAGTAAAAATACCTTTATGCGTACTCAATCTAAGGATTCCCTTAGCATCGTTATCTAATTCAAATTGATTATATGCCTGATTTAAATCTAGTTTAGTGAAATGCTCACCGTTATGCAGTTTCGCATAGATTTCCTCCACCAACGGTACTGGGTGATGTTCTTCTTTGAGCCATTTGTTCACCGTGCTTTTATAGTCTCCATACAACCTCAGTCCACCATCGGCCTTGATGACGATCACGACAGGTGTTGCCCATTCACTCGTTTCAGTTGGGGTTAGGATACCATCCTTCACCATTTTGTCTAATGCCTCGTCAACCTTCTGTCGATATGCCAGTGGTACAGGCCTGGGTTTTAAAAATATGGGAATAGCACCTTCTTTTAACTGCAAAGAAATTTTTGCGTGTTTAAATTTACCCAATTTGTTATTAAATACGTCTGGAAAATTTTCAATAATTTCATTTATTTCATTTTTATGAGAAGCTGATTTAATAGTGTTTACCATTTGAAACTTTATATTAAATAGATTTAGCCAATCTCGACCCAATATGTTTGCAGCACCATCCTTTACAACATACAATTTGACAGGTTTACAAACATTTAAATAATCAACATTTACTACATGCACAAACAATCCTCCATTATAACTACACAGCATTATGTTATCTTTAATTAGTTTATATTTATTAGCAAAATGTTTTTCATAATATTTTTTATTAAAGCTGGATTTATACAGGAAATAAAATAAAATAAAATAAGAAATAACATAACAAACGGGCAAAATAAGAAATAAGGCGTTTATACAGAAAAATATAAAATAAAATTAGAATTATTTTGAGCCAATCACCACGCGCCTGAACTGTCATCGGTCTAATCTAATCGACGTCGTGACATGCGCAAATAGCATTTTCATATAAAATAAAATAAGAAGTTAAAAGTTAACCAACTTTTTATTTTTGCTTATTTGTTATCTTATTTTATTTTTGTGTATAAACGCCACCATGGGTTCTCTACAGTGGTTCTCATAAGGCCATCTTTTAATTTTATTTTATTTCTTATTTTATGTTATTTTATTTCCTGTATAAACCCAGCTCAAGTCCAGAAATTTGGGCTCCTGAATCGATCATAAAAACATGTTGTTTATTATTAATTTTTGTTTACATTAAATGGATTATTTTTAAAATCTTTGTCAAAAATTCCAAACATTGTTGCTGCTGTAGTTTCCTGCTCATCATCGGATTCTCCAAATTCAGAGTCAGAATAATAATTATTAAAATTTTGTACATACCCATTCCCACATAACAAAATTGCATCCTTAGAATGTATTAAGGATGTTCTTTTTTTAGGAGGAATGTGCCTAGAATGTTCGCCAAAACCATTGCGAATGTCCTGAGAATGTTCTGAGAAAAGATTGTAGAAATACTGTT